GTAGTAGTAGTAGTAGTAGTAGTAGTAGTAGCAGTAGCAGCAAGAGCAGCAGGAGCAGCAGGAGTAGTAGTAGTAGTTAGTAGTAGTACTGTAGTAGTAGTAGTAGTAGTAGTAGTAGAAGTAGTAGCAGAAGTAGTAGCAGCAGAAGTAGTAGCAGTAGTAGTAGTAGTAGTAGTAGTAGTAGTAGCAGTAGTAGTAGTACTAGCCCCGTGCGGAACTTGCAAAGACTTCCCGACATTGAATTTTGTAAGTGTTAAGGCCCGTCAGTACTACGCTCCATGCTCTTGCCAGGAGGTCAACGATGGGTTCTCCTTGGGTAAGTACCCGGGGATTTCTGGCAAAGACTATGCAGATCTATTGGTGGCGAGATGGCATTCCTTAATGACCTTGATTCCATGAGGCCTCGCATGGCCTCTGTCTTCACATCTGCGCGGCTTGCATTTCTATTTCTGGCGGTTCTTTTGGGGCCATCATACCTCAAAGTGGTTAGCTGCGGGACGAAGCCACCGGCTGGAAGTGTGGCGGAGGGGAGAGAAGCTGCGAGTGGATGCTAAGCGCACCACATGTATGTGGCTCACTGCAGCTTCCGGCAACATCTTAATCAGCGATTGTCCTATCACGGTGTCAAAACCTGCACTGGATCAACTGCAAAGTGACAAGATCTGGTGTGATTGGACGAGAAGGCGACGGATAGGTGCGAACGTGGGAACACGAGATATTGGCCAACAAAGCATGCAGGGCAAGAACACCCAGAGTCAGCCGTGAGTATAGGTGCGAATTGCTTTAGAGTTCGTCCGCCTGTTTGACCGCCTGCGCTGAAAAGGCAGATGAACAGTAGTCTAAAGCTTAAGTCCTGAAGCCCTGAACCGAAAACCATGCAGTACTACAGTGACTCTTTTCCTTTCGGCATGTCTCTCTCCGAAAGCCGCCAAGAATCCGACGGGTCGCACGCAGTGCAAGAGGTCTCGAATCACACGTGAAGGTGAGCCTGGGTTGAACATTTAGGTTACCGGCCTGAACCATACACTTAATTACACGGTTCAGGGCCTTGGAAGACATGATCCCTTGTTTATATTATACCCTAAACCCTTTGAGCCCAAAAGCCATGTGCAGGCAGCATGCTGACACCTACCAGCAGTCAATAATTTTACTTGTTGGGGTTCGGTACCTAGGTAGTAAATGTTCAAAGAACTCCGGTCTACTGCGAAACCCTTGAAACCCAGTTGGTAGTGGTTGTATCATATCGTGTGCTGACTAAGTAGCAAGGCATGCTACGTAGTCTTGAATGAAACGCTACTCCCTCAACCTTAAGGCTTAAGCCCGCGAATGCGAGATGCGAGAAACGAGTTCCTTGAGACGTGGAGTCAGCAGGCAAACTACAGGCCATCATAAGCTTGCTTGGAAACTTGAAATGTTCTTTTTTGGGTTTAGGGTCCAAGGTCTTATATGGAGGCATATTTCATAAATGTTGCTAGAGGCCCCAACGCCTCAACCTTAAACCCCAAGTTTCCCTAAACCCTAAACCCAAAAAGGCCGGGAACGCCAAATCGACTCCGTCCCCGGAGTCTTGCCGTCACACTACATCAACCTCTTCGAATCTACGAGTCATAGGGTCTTGCCATCAACTCCAGACTGGGAATATGGGGAAACAGAAACTCGAAAAAGTGTAAGTGGGCCCGGGTAACAAAGGGCAAGCCTTCTAAAGCCCAGGCGGTGGAGGATTCCGGGCCTCTGTACACAGGGTAGAGAAACCCCCAACCCAGAACGCCTGAACCTGGTGTAGGGTTTAGGGTTTGGGGTTTAGGGTAAACCGGTCTTCAACCTGACACCGTGTGTAAATGCACGAGCTTCACAACTTGAGCACCGCATAGCAGCATTGCAGACAGTCCTTGGGCCGTTTAGTCACCCGTGTGAATCCCTTATGGTAACCATAGGAACCTCTGTAGATCCCTCTTATAGCAGCCTCTGTTGACCCCAATAAGGCAACCTTTACAGCAACCTTCATGATAGCGCGTTAAAACCGCGCATACAGAAGCGTTGTTCCAGTTTGGCAACCCCACATGTAGATCTTAAGCCCATTACCGACTCCGCGCAAGTCGGGTAATTGAAATGAAGAGCCGGCCAGGAGAAGAAGAAAGCCATGAAAGCTCAGAATGCACCGCAACTGCATCGTTTCAATTTTTTCATGTCGTCGCACCTCAACCCCGACTCTTCCACCGTGAATCACCGAGCTGCTTAGGCCCCAGGCACAACCACCAAAAGTACCCCCGAAGGGCCCGAACCAGGCCTCTTGCGACATGTTCTTCCCTGCGATGTCGATGGTTTGGCATGGGATTGATTCCCTAAGGGTCCATATACCCAAATAGTATATACTTGGGGGCGTAAAGTAGTCCCTGATATAGGTACATCTGGGACTATGTATCTACTAATTGGGCACATGGACCCTCAGGGAATAGTTTCCAGTCACGTGAACTTGGATTTCTGGCGGAGCCCCGATCTTGCTTGTCCCCCTTCTCCTTAGAGCTTGGGGTTTAGGGTTTAAGGTTTAGAGTTTAGAGTTTGGGGTGAAAGGTTTGGGGTTTAAGGTTTACGAGCTTGTAACATTCACAAGGTAACCCCGTTTCTTATGGAAACCCTAACCCTAAAACCCTAAAGCCCTAGACCCTAAACCCTAAAACCCTGAAGCCCTTAAAACCCTAAATACCTAAAGCCCTAAACCCTAAAACCCTGAAGCCCTTAAACCCCTAAATGCCTAAAGCCCTAAACTAACCGTAAAACCCTGAAGCCCTTAAACCCCAAAGCCCTAAACCCTAAAGCCCCAACGAACTTAAACCCCGTAAACCCTAAAACCCTAAAGCCCTTAAACCTATAAACCCTTAAACCCCTACTAAAGCCCCAAACCCTAAACCCTAAAACCCCAAAACCCTGAAGCCCTGAAGCCCTAAACCCTAAACTGAAGCCCTAAGCCCTAAACCCGAGTCACTTCCCAAGGCTTTGGGCCTGAGCCTCGTCTTTTGGATCTGGCACCGGGGGCTTTTTGCTGCGTGAGCAAAAGCCCAAGCCGCACCAAGACCCGTCGGGTTTAGGCTTTAGGCGTTTAGGGTTCAGGGGTTTAGGGTTTAGGGTTTAGGGGTTTAGGGGTTCAGAGTTTAGGGTTTAGGCGTTTAGGGTTGAGGGGTTTAGGGTTTAGGGGTTTAGGGATTTAGGGTTTAGGGTTGAGGCGTTTAGGGTTTAGGGGTTTAGGGTTTAGGGGTTAAGGGTTTAGGGGTTTAGGGTTTTGGCGTTCAGGGGTTTAGGGTTTGGGCGTTTGGTGGTTTAGGCGTTTAGGGGTTTAGGGTTTAGGGGTTTAGGGTTGAGGGGTTTAGGGTTTAGGCATTTAGGGTTTAGGGGTTTAGGGTTTAGGCGTTCAGGGTTTAGGGGTTTAGGGGATTAGGCATTTAGGGTTGAGGGGTTTAGGGTTTAGGGGTTTCGGGGTTTAGGGGTTCGGGGTTTAGGCGTTTAGGGTTGAGGCGTTTAGGGTTTAGGGGTTTGGGGTTTTGGCGTTCAGGGCTTCGGGGTTAAGGGTTTAGGGGTTTAGGGTTTTGGGGTTTAGGGTTGAGGGGTTTAGGCATTTAGGTTTGAGGGTTTAGGTTTAGGCGTTTAGCGTTTAGGCGTTTAGGGTTTAGGAGGCGTTTAGGGTTTAGGTATTCAGGGCTTTATGGACCAAGTGGTGCTTTGCCTGAAGTACTCTGCTAAGTTGAATGGCAGAGCCACTCATGGCCTACCCTTTTGGTTTCTCATCGATGGCGTCAGTGAGCTTGCCTTACGTTGAGCTTAGGGTTAGAGGGCTAGCAAAGCTACCGCTGGAGCCACTCCCTCAACAAGGCATGGTGACTTTCCGGGTCGTTATGC